CTGCCCTTTCAAAAACTTATGGCAGTCTCAAATACTATTATTAATTATTGCAAATACCTAATTTATATAACATTCTATAAGTATTGAAAAAAAATGAGCCATACCTATTCATTTGAATCCTGAGTTTTCTTTGAATTATTTTTTTGAAAATTGAAGGAAGAATTACTTTGTTTAAAATATTTGTTGTTTTATTTTTGTCTTCTTTTTCCACAGTACTTTATTTAGGTGCCAATTACATGAGTAGAACTTCCTATTCTATGTACTGTATCCCACTTAATGTAAGGCATCATGGATTGGGTGATGCCACGTTACTTTATGTATCAATAAGATAATGTTTAAAATGTTGCCAGTTATAATTGTAATAAATAATGAATTGTAAACAGTATTCCAATGTCAGGAGATATTAATATATAAGAGAATAGTAGTTTATATAAAAGAATAGTGAGAAAATGAGCATCTGAGAATGATTGAAATACAATGATACATCTAATCTTTAATAGATACCTCAATGTAGATATGATTGTATCATTTTACTTAATTAGAATGTCTTTATAAGTAGTAACATCTAAAAATTATTGAGCTGTTATTTGTGTTAGAAAGTGTTCTAAATGCTGTACATAGATTCTTATGTAAGCATCACTGCAGTGTTCTGTGGGATAGCTACTATTCTCTTATATATTTTATTGATAAGGAAATTGAAGCAAAGAAAGACTAGATAATAGCTAAGTGACAGAGCTTTAAGTAAATTTTAAGCCCCAATTAAACTGAATCCAAAAGCCAAGCTTTTTCTGTTAAATAGCCTGCTCTTTCATTAATGTGATGAGTAATAAGTGCTAACAAAGATTGTACTTTCTTCACAAGAAAATTAAATATTTGTTTTGAAGACAGAGAAATAACACGCTAATTAATGCTTACAGTTACCTGTTTTTAAAAGTCCTGTCACTCTCGCAGGACTCCCCTACATTTGGCCTGTGCCACTGGCCAACCGGACATGGTATCTCTCCTGGTGTCCGCAAGATGTGAGCTTAACGTCTACGACCGTGAATACAGGACACCTCTGATCAAGGTATATAGTAGCCGACTCTTTGAGCATAAGATGGATTTGGTTTAAGTACATAGAATAAAAAGAACTTATCTCATTGGAATACCACTATATAACTAGTTAGTAAATCCTATGGAGTGTTTACTTTGATTTTTCAGTATTTGCATGTTTCTTGGTCTAATACTGACAGGCTGTACAACTGAGGCAGGAGGTTTGTGCAACTATTCTGCTGAAAAATGGTGCCGATCCAAATATTACGGATTTCTATGGAAAGACTGCTCTACACTATGCGGTGTATAATGAAGATACATCCATGATAGAAACACTTCTTTGTTATGGTGCAGATATTGAAGAACGCGGCAAGGTATAGATCAACCAACGTTATTTTCAAACTATCTGAAATGCATTTATTTTAACATTGACACATGTAAGGGCCAATTTTTCATATTTGGAAGCTCAAACATTCCTTGAATGAAAATATTTTGAAATGCTTTAACTGTCTAAGATTTTACTTTAAATACTGGAACTTTTAAAGAAGCATTATAGAGTACAACTTTTCTTCATGTGCTTATGGTAAATAATTATAAAAACAAATGAATTACAATAAATTTATAATTCATGACAACTGAATTTGGGAAAGGGAATGGTTAAGTGGTTTTCCACTAAATTGCTTTTTTTCTAATCAGTGTGAAGTGACACAGGAAAGTAAAATTTGCCCTTATTAATAGGCTTTATTTTAAATTTCAAAGAAAATTAAAGCATTTCACAATAAATGTCCTTCTTGCTGCTGTTGACAAGTATTGTATGTGAAGGTGATTTCATTTGAAAGTGATTCCTCTGTGGAAAGGCTTAAGAGGGAGAAATGAGGAAAAGGAGAGCAATCAGAAATGCACAAGCTAATTTGGAAATTAGGTAATGAGGGAAAATACTGTGGAGAGGGTTTTTGTGTGTTTTGTGGTTTGTTTTCTATTTATATGTTGAGACAAGGATCTCTTCAGTTTTGGGGATAATTATTCTTACTTTTGGCAAGAGTTTGTGGGTTATAAAATTGCCTAGGGATCAGTTTTGGTAGGACTCTGAGGAAACCAGGTTGGCAGTGAATAGAGGCGATGAAGTGGCACACAGTTCAGCAGAGAGAAGAACACACAATTAATGGACATTATTCAATTCTGGCAGAAACAGTCACTTAGATAAGCATCTAAACTCTACTCTCAAGTCCACAATGTCTTGATGGGCAGGTGGGAGATAAGGAGCTTATAAATAGTAAAATCAAGTTGGATTTTGAGTTTACTAGTCTCTTCTCTACCCCTACCCAGGAAAAGTAAATGGAGTTTTCAGTGAACGGCTCTATCTTTTGCTCTTTCCTCTTTTTGGCCAAATCCCAAATGATAAAGGGCATTTGCCATGTGGGTGAGAGATGAGACTGAAGTGATTATCAACCGTGCTAGTC